GGGGGGGGATAATCCAAGAACAGAAGAAGAAGAAAAGGGGCGTTGGTATGAGAAAAGAGAGGTAAGAGATATAGAAGTTGAAGTTGAGCCATGCAGACTAAAATTGGACACTCGGGGTAACCGATCAGAGACGCGAGGACAACCTTTTTTTTTTCGTGTCTGCTTTTTACCCTTTTCTCTCTCTTCTCTCAAAATCCCAGTGCTTTTTCTAACCAGGGATCGAAGTATTCGCAACTTTCCGGGCTGACGGCTCCGCCGGGCGCGCAGAGCTTGAAGACCGGACAATGACCGCACGGGGCTTCGGTCATACCGTTGCGGACGAGACGGTCGTCGATCCCGGAGTCCTCGCCGGGGGGCTTGCGCGCCTGCTGCGACTTGACCTGGGCGGGGGTCTTGACGGAGCGGTAGACCTCGCCGTTGTTGAGGGCGACCAGCTTGTTGTCGTAGCAGAGCATCTCCAGGAGCTGGGTGATGCTCTCCTCGCCGAGTCGCACGGGGGTGATGCCGCTGGCGTTGACGGCGGCCGTCAGCTCGGGGATGGTGGGGTAGCCCTGGTAGCCGGCGGGGAAGGGGATGTATTCCTTCTGCGGTTGGGGGTCGGTTTCGTAGGGGTTGCTGCTGACGACCCCGTTCCCGTCGACGGTCTTGAGGCGCTTGTTGTTGCGGTGGTGGACGGCGGGCACCTCGTACCAGCTCTTCTGGCTGACCTTCCACTCGATGAACCCGGCCACGCTGTTGATGAAGTTCTCGTCCAGCACGCCGTCCGTGAACCAGGCCCCGCCCGTCACGTCCTCGCTGGGCGCCAACCCCGCCAGCATGTACATCTTCCGGCTGGGGAACTTGACATTGTGCACGCTCTTGATGTAGTTCTTCCCTTCCAGCGACTTGAGGCAGCGGTCCAGAATCGACTTGTGCAGGTTCGTGCGCGTGCCGATGGCGCGCACCCAGATGCCGGACCGTCCGGTCGAGTGGATGACATTGTAAACTAAACTTTCGTCGGGGCTGAGGTTCTGGAGTCTGTGGGCGGTGCGTGCATGTTAGTTGTGAACGAATTGCTCTCTCGGATCATTGCAATTCAGTTGCTAGGTGGGGGGGGGGGGGGGGGGGGGGGAGGTCGGGGGGGGGGGGCTGGGTAGTTTGCTCATACTTCTCTGCATCCTCCCGGGAGATGATCTTCCACGCTAACCGATCATTCTTTCCCTGGAGCAGACGGAACAGTTTCTGGTCGACGAGCGATTGAGTGCATTGCAGGAGTAGCGCGAGGTCATTCTTGGGGACGATCCCCAGTCCGAGGAGATCTTGCTGGTAGAAGAGATGGTCGGATGGGAAGTTTCTCAAGCAGGCATCGTAGAGTCGGGCGCAAAGCTCGCTCACTGAAGAGCCAGCTGAGGAGGCCATTGTTCGCGGCGGGGTTTAATCGATATCAGAGATTGGGTGGGGGGCGAGAAGGTTGTGGTTCGCGGTGGTGGGCGCGGCGGGGAAAAGGTGAGGGGAGATCTTGTCCGAAGGTCTCACACACTGTGTTGAAAGGAAACGATCACCGGAAAGGCTTATGGAAGGGCATGATCAGGAGCGCGCGCCGGATTCCTTGACTGGTTGGTGTCGAGTGGATGGGAAGAGACTTAATCAAAGTCCCCAAACTGTGAAAGCGAGCTTTGAATAGTGACTGGACTGGAAGAAATGAGCGCAAAAAGAATCCAGAAGGGAATTTTTGGAGAAGCGTTTCGATGACGGCGGGAAAAAGAAGATGTTTTTGGGCGGCCTTTCTTTCTCTTTCGGGCTTGGCCGCACATGCATGGAGGCCTGAGGCGTCAGGCCAGAACAAGTGACAGCTGCTTCTGCCTCGTTGTGGCCTGAGGCTGTTCGGAAATTTCGAGAAGCTCCCGGCAAGAGCTCAGGCCGTAGTTTAAACTGGCTCTGGCTCCCCCGGCGGCATTCCCTCTTCTCCCCCAGAACCATCATCCCTCATCTCTTCCAGCCTCACTTCTTTCTCAATCCCCCTTTCCTCAATCTACTGTCACCTGTCTTACAGCATGGCTGACGCTTTGAAAGCAGAGGGCAACAAGGCCTTCTCTGCAAAGGATTATCCTACTGCTATGTACGTATTTTTGGTCCCGTATTCTACCCCGCTTGAAAACGGAGCAATCAATCTGTCTAATATATCTGATCACTGACATCTGCACAGTGAGAAGTTCTCGCAGGCTATTGAAGTTGAGCCTACCAACCACATCCTCTACTCCAACCGCTCCGCTGTATATTCCGCGCAACATGAATACCAGAAGGCTCTCGAGGATGCCAACAAGGCTACGGATCTGAAGGCAGACTGGTCCAAGGGCTGGATCCGCAAAGGTGCCGCTTATCGCGGTCTGGGCGATCTCTGTGAGTTAACCCCATAAGCGTGTCCGATGGCAACCTCGGTGCTGTGCCGCTGCTAACGGTCTCCATCTAGTGGCTGCCCACGACGCATATGAAGAGGCTCTGAAGCTGGAGCCCACCAACGACCAGGCTAAGAACGGCTTCAACGCTGTCAAGAGGGCCATCGACGCCGAAGCCCAGGCCGACGGTGTGACGGGCGACCCCATGGGAGGACTCGGTGGAATGTTCAACGACCCCCAGCTCTTCCAGAAGCTCGCCGGCAACCCCAAGACCGCTCCCCTGCTGGCCGATGCCGACTTCATGGCCAAGCTCAAGCGCCTGCAGCAGAACCCCAACGACATCGGTCAAGAGATTGGCGACCCTCGCTTCTTGCAGGTCATGAGTGTGCTGCTGGGTATCGATATGAATTTTGGCGCTCCTCCCCCGGAGGCCGCTGCTTCCTCTAGCGCTGCGCAGGAGGCCGAGGAGGATGTGCCTATGCCCGATGCTCGTCCCGCTGCTCCCAAGAAGGAGTCCGAGCCCGCCCCGGAGCCCGAGCCCGAGGATGAGGAGGCCCTCGAGAAGAAGAAGGCCCAGGAATCCGCCGATGCCGAGAAGAAGCTTGGGAACGATTTCTACAAGAAGAGAGATTTTGATGGGGCTATTGAGCACTATAACAAGGCTTGGGAGCTGCACAAGGACATCACCTACCTGAACAACCTCGGTGCCGCCAAATTCGAGAAGGGTGATCTTCAGGGTGCCATCGAGACCTGCCAGAAGGCTGTCGAGGAGGGTCGTGAGCTCAGAGCCGACTTCAAGGCCATTGCTAAGTAAGGGTTCTCCGTGCGATTTGGCATCTGACCGTGGCTAACGTCCGTGATTGTACGTAGGGCCTTTGCACGTATCGGTACCGCATACGAGAAGCTTGGCGAGCTCGGCCAGGCCATCGAGTTCTACCACAAGGCGCTGACTGAGCACCGTACTCCCGATGTTCTCACGAAGCTGCGCAACGCCGAGAAGGCCAAGGCCAAAGCTGAAAAGGAGGCCTACGTCGACCCTGCTGAAGCCGAGAAGGCCCGCGAGCTCGGCCAGGCCAAGTTCCAGGAGGGTGACTGGCCTGCTGCCGTGGACGCCTTCACCGAGATGACCAAGCGCGCCCCCGAGGACCCCCGCGGGTTCTCCAACCGCGCTGCGGCTCTCATCAAGCTGATGGCTTTCCCCCAGGCGGTGCAGGACTGTGACGAAGCTACCAAGCGGGATCCCAAGTTCATTCGGGCGTACATGCGCAAGGCGCAGGCTTTGGTTGCCATGAAGGAGTACAACAAGGCTCTGGATGTCTGCACGGAAGCTTCGGAGCACGACGACGGCACCCACGCCCGGGAGATCGAGCAGCAGCAGCAGAAGTGCTTGGATGCTCAGTTCAGCGCCCGTGCCGGCGAGACCGAGCAACAGACGATGGAGAGAATCCAGAACGACCCTGAGGTGAGTTGTTTGTCCACCTGATATCGGTGGGATCCTGTCGCTAACTATGAAATCCATAGATCATGTCCATCCTGCAGGACCCTATCATGCAGACCATCCTCCAGCAAGCCAAGAGCGACCCCGCCGCCCTCCAGGAGCACATGAAGAACTCCCAGGTGCGGATGAAGATCCAGAAGTTGATGGCCGCCGGAGTCATCCGCATGGGTCGGTGAGCAAGCCAGTAGTGGAAGGAGGCAGTGATGATGGGGACACGAATTGGGGAAATTTGTGATTGCGCTTATTATTTAATCTGTTATGAAAAGCGTTCTCGATGGCGCCCTCTTGATGTATTTTTCTTCTCGTTGTTATTTTACGGCAGTGACGATGCATTTGATATCAGATCATTGAAATGACATGCTTGAGATGTGTATTTCCGATTGTTCCTGATTCTGTATATAACGGTCTGTAAGCACCACCTGAGATGTTGGATGGTTGATGTATCCTGTATATTCAGTTCGTGCTCTGCCGGACGTTCACACCGTATCTTTCATCTGCATTAAAACTTTCCGCTCCTCGCAAGCTGCGACCGCTGGCTCGGTATTACGAGGGTTTCATTCGGACATTCGGAAGCCCTTCTATCCACTCTACCGCTGCAATCAATGGTATCTTCTTCCTCTACCCTAGAGTACTCATCGTTGAATGCTGTGCCATGCCCTGCACCTTTGTAGACTATAAGCAAAAAGGGCAGTCAGACCGACCGACCGACCACACAGCTATCTAGACCAGACCAGACCAGGCCCGACCATCCGTGCACACCAATAGGTTACTGCGGAGTCACGGTCAGTTTTAACACTCGTTGTCGAACTTTGTTGTCCATTGACTTTGAACTTTCCTTCTTGGATGTCCGTCCGACCTCGGCTTATTCACGGGATTTGAGGAGGGGGGGGGGGGTTTGTGTCATCATCCGTTTTTTTTTTTTTTTTTTTTTTTTTTTTTTTTTTTTTTTTTTTTTTGCTTCTTTTTTGGTTGTTTTTGCCTTCTTGTTTTAAGTCTTGCTCGTATATCAGAATATCGTGAGTTTTCTGTCTTTACGTCTTGGGAAGAAATGGATTGGTAGGTTAATAGGTTAATTCAGACCGGGTGCGGTGCGGTGCAGTGCACTGCACTGCAGTGCGGTACAGTACAGGCAGGAATTA